TATAACGGGAGACAATAAAGCAACAATACAGTTCAATACAAGAGGGGAAGGAGGACTGCACTTTAAATCGCTACAGATATCGGCCATACATTGGTGGAAATAAGCTGAAAGCTTAGAATCACTTTAGTAGTCACCACTAGTACACTGATCACCGCTGTCTTCTGGGGCCCACTGCCGTGGTGCACTGTGAACACGGGGCCACTCGCTCCATTTACTGAACCCACCACATTTTTGTCAGTATATGCAAATCATTCTCTGACTGGATGAGCTGGAGAGGCTGGGTGGTGACATTCTGATCCTCACCTGATCCAGATTTCTACTCTGAAAGGCAAAAAAGCATTTTTCTTTTGTCTGTGTTGCCATTAGATATATTTTCCTCTTTTCCTGTCTGGTGAAACGGTTGTCACCAGAAGAGTAAAGGAGGGAAAATCTTTTTGTAGCGGAACCATAGATAACGATAAAATGTGACAGGGGTTCTAATTCATTCCAAATTTAAAACCCAATCAAAGTATGGAGTGTCTGGACATTGTCACTAGCCTAAAACAAGGGTTCTGATTGTTCAGACTTCACTGGCTGCATGCTGGATCAGGCCAGTGACTCTCTAGACCACAGGGGTCAAACTGGCAGCCCACCAGCTGTTGCCAAACTACAAGTCCCATGAGGCATTGCAAGATTGACAGTTATCGGCATGACTCCCAAAGGCAGAGGCATGATGGGACTTGTAGTTTCGCAACAACTGGAGGGCCGCCAGTTTGACACCCCTGCCCTAGATAGTGTGGCCAGTACAAGGGTGTCGGCCCTTTCAGGCCTGGTTCACAGCTATGCGTGTTGCAATTGATGCATTTTTCCGTTGCGTTTTTTGACACGTGTAGTAGTAGTGATGTGGTTTTTTTTTTTTTTTTTTGTTTTTTTTTTTTAATACGTAAAAAATTACGCAGGCTTCTGCACTACTTTGATGCGACTTGAGTGCCACAGAGTGTAAAGTCGCATCAGTGTCACACTCAATACATTCCTAATGGCCCAAACCCCCCCCCCCCCGCAAAACGCATCAAAAACACAACAATTGTGTTTTTGGTGCATTTCCATTAAAGCCTATTGCATCAAAAAAGCAATCTGCTGCAGGAAAAAAAGTCCATGACCCTTTCAAAAAACGCAGCAGCTGAAAACGCTTAGATGTGAATGTGTCCCATAGGAAACCATGTTAAATGGACTGCAGTGCGTTTCTGCAAAACTCAATTACTTGACGTCCGGCCGCTGTATATAAACGGCCGGACGGTGGCAGTCCAGGGGAGGGTTGCCGTTCATAAACGGCGCCCTCCATTTTGGACAGTGCACGCTCCCTGGGAGCGCGCAGTACCGCGATCCGGTGCCCGCTGTGTCCTCCGGACACAGTGGAACACCGGTCGCTGTACGGGACCCTGATGTGAGGTCCCGTGTGATCACTGATTGGCCAATCGATGATCACATGCAGAGTAGTAAGCAAGATGTCACTTCTGACATCATTGCTTACTACGTGTGAAATCTGTGAATGATCACAGAGGTCACATGGTACAGGCTATTCACAACAGCCTTGTACCATGTGACAAGCTGTGACCAATCACAGCTCACACAGTATTTCTCAATGGCTGCAAGAATGCAACCAGAGAGGAGAAATGATTGCTTTTACAGCCTTTATGGGTGTAAAAGCAATCAGTGTTAAAGAAAAAAATCTTCATCACCCCCCAGAAGTAGTACAGTTTCACCATGGTGACAGCATGTAGAAAAAAAAAAACATAATATAAAAAAATAAAATAAAAATGTAAATTTTTTTTTTTTTTTTTAATTATAATTTTTGGTTATAAACTAATTTGCGTTTTTTTTTTTTTTTTTTTTTTTTTTACTAAAAAGATAACTGAATACATTTTGGCCAAGAGTTATGATGAAATATTTATTTGCAAAATTTTTTAAGAAAAACACTTTTTTTTTTCAATTTTTGGACATTTTCATTTATATAGCAAAAAAAATAAAAATCCCAGTGGTGAATAAATACCACCAAAATAAAGCTTTATCTGTCTCAAAAAAATGCTAAAAAATTCATATGGGTACAGTGTTGCATGACCGCGCAATTGTCATTCAAAGTGTGATAGTGCTGAAAGCTGAAAATTGGCCTGGACAGGAAGGGGGGGGGGGGGGGGGGAGAAGTGTCCGGACTGGAGGGGGGGTTAAAGTGTCCGGAAGGGGGGGGGGAAAGTGTCCGGACTGGAAGGGGGGGGGAAAGTGTCCGGACTGGAAAGGGGGGGGGAAAGTGTCCGGACTGGAAGGGGGGGGGGAAAGTGTCCGGACTGGACTGGGGGGAAGGGGGGGGGGGGGGGGGGGGGGGGCGGGAAAGTGTCCGGACTGGAAGGGGGGGGGGGGGGGGTGTCCGGAGGACTGGAAGGGGGGGGGGGGGAAAAAGTGTCCGGACTGGAAGGGGGGGGGGGAAAGGTGTCCCGGACTGGAAGGGGGGGGGGGAAAAGTGTCCGGACTGGAAGGGGGGGGGGGGAAAAAGTGTCCGGACTGGAAGGGGGGGGTGGGGAAAAAAAGTCCGACTGGAAGGGGGGGGGGGAAAAAGTGTCCGGACTGGAAGGGGGGGGGGGGGGGGGGGAAAAAGTGTCCGGACTGGAAGGGGGGGGGGGGGGGGGGGTGGGGGGAAAAGTGTCCGGACTGGAAGGGGGGGGGGGGGGGAAAAGTGTCCCGGACTGGAAGGGGGGGGGGGGGGGGAAAAGTTAAAAGGGGGGGGGAAACTTCCATCTGTACAGACATGAGGAAAAACTTATGTTGGAAAGTCATGGCCGAAAAAACTTGTCTCCCCCCTCCCCCCCCCCCCCCCGCATTTCTGTCAGCTGACACATCACTTCGCCCAGAAAATTGTTGCCATTACAAATGTTTTGGCATTCTCCTGTTTATTTTTTTTTGTTTGTATTGGTGACACAAAAAGTGGAGAAACAAAAATCCAAATCTGACACATTCCACGCAAAATCCCAAAAATGGACCGGACAAAATTATTGCCACTTTCTCCAAGACCATCCTCAGACCAGATCTTGCACTTCTTCATTGTAAGAAATAATTACATTCCAAGTTTGTGATTCTCCTGTAAATTGTCATTAGACTCCCCCGTATCCATGACCAGGCGCTGACAATATAGAAATCACACCGACAACCAGGAAAAATGGCCTCCACCTTTCTGTGTGTGTCTCTGTGTGCCACAGCATGGAGAAGAGAAAGAGAGCAACAAAGAATTGTCTGAGGATTCGAGAACAGAAATGGTGGAAAAGCACGGACAGTCTCTAGGTGATAAGTTCAGCTCCAGAGATCTTAATGTTCCTGTGTCCACTGTTCACAACATTGTCAGTGCCAATGGCACTGTAGCTAATCTCCCTGGACGTGGACGAAAAAGAAAAAGTGATCAAAGATTGCAATGAAGGATTGTTGGAATGGTGGATAAAGAACCTCCATCAACTTCCAGACAAATCCAAGCTGACCTTCAGGCACAGGGTAAACCTGTGTCTGCTCGCACTATACGTCACCATCTGAATGAAAAGGGACGCTATGGTAGGAGGCCCAGGAGGGCCCCACTGCTGACACAGAAATATGGTAGGAGACCCAGGAGGGCCCCACTGCTGATACAGAAATATGGTAGGAGACCCAGGAGGGCCCCACTGCTGATACAGAAATATGGTAGGAGACCCAGGAGGACCCCACTGCTGACACAGAAATATGGTAGGAGACCCAGGAGGACCCCACTGCTGACACAGAAATATGGTAGGAGACCCAGGAGGACCCCACTGCTGACACAGAGATATGGTAGGAGACCCAGGAGGACCCCACTGCTGACACAGAAATATGGTAGGAGGAGGACCCACTGCTGAGGGTAGACCCAGACCCCACTGCTGACACAGAAATATGGTAGGAGGCCCAGGAGGACCCCACTGCTGACACAGAAATATGGTAGGAGGCCCAGGAGGACCCCACTGCTGACACAGAAATATGGTAGGAGGCCCAGGAGGACCCACTGCTGACACATAGAAACAGATTGGAAGCCAGATCGGAGTTTGCCAAAACTTACCTGAGGAAGCCAAAATCCTTTTGGAAGAATGTGCTGTAGACAGATGAAACAAAATGGCAGCTTTTTGGTAAAGCCCATCATTCTACTGTTTTCAGAATGAGCAATGAGGCCTTCAAGAAAAGAATCCAGTCCCTCCAGTCACACATGGTGGGGGGTCACTGATGTTTTGGGGTTGTTTTGCTCCTTCAGGCACTGGATGTCTTGGCCGTGTGCATGGCATTATGAAATCTGAAGACTACCAAAGAATTCTGGGGTGCAATGTAGGGCACGGAGTCAGAAAGTTGGGTCTCCATCAGAGGTCATGGGTCTTCCAGCAGGACAATTACCCAAAGCACACGTCAAAAAGCCCCCAGAAATGGTGTCAAAGTGCTGGAGAGGACTGAACTGGCCAGCAATGAGCCCAGATCTCCATCCCATAGAGCTCCTGTGGAGAGATCTCAGAACAGCAGTTGGGGGAAGGAATCCTTCCAATCTGAGAGACCTGGAGCAGTTGGAGAAAGAAGAGTGATCCAAAATTCTAGTAGAGCGGTGGAAGAAACTCATTGATGGCTACAGGAAGCCATTGATTTCACTTTTTTTTTTTTTTTTTTTTTTACCAAATTATAATTTGAGGGTGCCAATAATTGTGTCCGGTCCTTTTTGGGGGTTTTGCGTGGAATGTGTCAGATTTGGCTTTTTGTTTCTTCCCTTTTTTGTGTCCTACCAATAAAAAAACCAAAGAAATAAACATGAGAATGCCAAAACATTTGTCATTGCAGCAATTTTCTGGGTGAAGAGGTGCGTGATCTGACAGAAGTACGGGGGGGGGGGGGGGGGGGGGGACTGGACATGACTAGATATTTAAGATTTGAAGACAATTTCAACATAAAATGAATTGTAGATTTCCTAAAGTGTAACAATCTTCTTTTCTTTGCAGTGTCTATGAGGAAGTGAAGAAAGACAGACAGCGAAGCCCTTTTATCTATAAGGTATGTGCTGGGTGTTTATATTTTCCTCCTCCTTTATATAGGACCAACCGATCCTGTGCTGCAAAGAGCCAATCCGATCGATCAGTACCTCCCATAGAAGGGGCTTCTGTCCCTCCTTAGTCAGAGAACTAGTGATCATTTCAGTGGAATGCCGGGTAACCTGCTAGCATGGCTGCTTTCTGATTTGATCGTTGACCCTTTTGTTCCTTTTGATCGTTGGACCCTTTCATCACAGTTACTTATAGAGCCACCAATGTACGCAGCACTTTACATATATATTGTACATTCTCATCAGTCCCTAACCCTCAAGGGGTGTACAATCTAAGGTCCCTAACCCTCAAGGGGTGTGTACAATCTAAGGTCCCTAACTCACATTCATACATACACCTACTAGGGACAATTTAGACAGGAGCCAATTCACCTACCAGCATGTCTTTGGAGTATGGGAGGAAACCGGAGTACCCAGAGGAAACCCACACAGGCACAGGGAGAACATGCAAACTCCAGGCAGGTGGTGCCATGCTTGGGATTCAAACCAATGACCCTAGTCCCTAACCCTCAAGGGGTCGTACAGTCTAAGGTCCCTAACTCACATTCATACATACACATACTAGGGACAATTTAGACAGGAGCCAATTCACCTACCAGCATGTCTTTGGAGTGTGGGAGGAAACTGGAGTACGCGGAGGAAACCCACGCTTTTTCTTCCATTTTTGCGTTAAAAAAGGCAGAAGAAAAATGCATGACCATTAACGTTGAGTTTTTCAAAGTCCTGCTTGCTGCATTTTTGGCGCAAGTTTGGTCTGGTAAAAAAACAAAATGCATCCCTCCATTGAAATGAATGGAAACCGCATCAAAAAAGGCAGCGTACCTGTGGGAGGTGCTCAAGCCGGGTTCACAGAATCGCATGACAAAGGAAATCAAGTTATAATGGTGTCCTTCTAATCCCAGCAGAGTGCGATTTTGGAAAAGGTTCGTGGTGGACATCACCTTGATTTCAGCCCCATAGACTTCTATGTTATCTCACAGCAGTTACATCAGCATAGATAAGAGGCATTCCTATGTGACTTTGATGGATGAGTGTGTTTTTTTTGTTTTGTTTTTACTCTCACCTCTCCTCCCTGGTCGTTCCTCACCCATCATTTTTAATACAGCTGCAATTATAGAGCTTTCCTTTGATCAATTGATCCTTCCTACCTTCGAATGACCCTTTCTTCGATCGGTCAACTCTTCCTTTCTTCGATCGGTTGACCCTTCGTTCATTCAATTTTTCCTTCAACCCTTTTTTCCTTTGCTTGTTGGACCCTTTCTTCCTTTGATTGTTGGACAAAGGAGTGCGCTGGGGATGTCATCTCACAGCGCATGCTCAGGAAACGCGTTGCTATGACGCCTGGTGACGTCATTGCGCATACGTTGCGCTCCATTGTGTGTTCCAGACCTCGGTGCCAGGCCCCCCTCCACCTTGCTGGCTTGCCTGATACAGACAGAAGGTTGATCATCATCCACACACCGCACATTATTTTGTTCACCCTGGCGGACCCCCATAAGACTGAATAATGATGTGCCTGCTTTTATCTACCCTCTTGTAAGTTGCTCTCCTTTATGTGTAATGCGTTTTTAAGCCTACATTTAGAGGCGCCTTTCCTTTTTCTCTTTGCTTCTAGTTCACACTAGTGCAGTCAGTTTCCGGTGCAGAAAAAAAAGTAGAACATGCGGCATTTATTCTGCACAGGACCATACTGGAACATGGCAAACTGCATCAAAACTGCACTGGAGCTGCGTGTGGAGTGAACTGTAAGCAAAAACGTATCCGGAACCTATCTGGAGGGCATTTTTGTGGTGTGAATCAGCCCTTAACCACTTGCCGTCCGGCTGCTGTATATAAACGGCCAGACGGTGGCAGTCCAGGGGCGGGTTGCCGTTCATAAACGGCACCCGCCATTTTGGACTGTGTGCGCTCCCTGGGAGCGTGCAGCACCGCGATCCGATGCCCGCTGTGTCCTCCGGACACAGTAGAACACCGCTTGTCATATGGGGCCTCTGTGTGAGGTCCCGATCATGTGATCACTGATTGGCCAATCAGTGATCACATGCAGAGTAGTAAGCAAGATGTCAGTTTTGACATCATTGCTTACTACGTGTGAAATCTGTGAATGATCACAGAGGTCACATGGTACAGGGCTATTCACAACAGCCTTGTACCATGTGACAAGCTGTGACCAATCACAGCTCACTCAGTATTTCTCAATGGCTGCAGGAATGCAACCAGAGAGAAGGAAAAATGATTGCTTTTACAGCCTTTATGGGTGTAAAAGCAATCAGTGTAAAAAAAAAATTGTCACTGCTAGGGGGACAGTATGTAGAAAAAAACCCATAAATAATCTAAAAATGTAAAAAATGTTTTTTTAAAAATTATAATTTTTGGTTACAAACTAATTTTAGGTTATTTTTTTTTTTTTTTTACTAAAAAGATAACTGAATAAATTTTGGCCAAGATTTATGATGACATATTATTTATTTGCAAAATTTTATTAGAAAAACACTCTTTTTAAAATTTTTGACTTTTCATTTACATAGCAAAAAAAATAAAAATCCCAGCGGTGAATAAATACCACCAAAATAAAGCTTTATCTGTCTCATAAAATGCTAAAAAATTCATATGGGTACAGTGTTGCATGACCGCGCAATTGTCACTCAAAGTGTGATAGCGCTGAAAGCTGAAAATTGGCCTGGCCAGGAAGGGGGGGGGGGGGGGGGGGGTATCCGGACTGGAAGGGGGTGAAAGTGTCCGGACTGGAAGGGGGGGGGGGGAAAGTGTCCGGACACAGGAAGGGGGGGGGGGAAAGCGTCCGGACAGGAAGGGGGGGGGGGAAAGTCCGGACAGGAAGGGGGGGGGGGAAAGCGTCCGGACAGGAAGGGGGGGGGGGGGAAGTCCGGGAAGAGGGGGGGGGGAAAGCGTCCGGACAGGAAGGGGGGGGGGAAAGCGTCCTGGACAGGAAGGGGGGGGGGGGGGAAAGCAGGAAGGGGGGGGGGGGGAAAGCGTCCCGGACAGGAAGGGGGGGGGGGGGGGGGAAAAAGCGTCCGGTAAATGCAGGGACAGGAAGGGGGGGGGGGGGGAAAGCGTCCGGACAGGAAGGGGGGGGGGGGGGGGAAGCGTCCGGACAGGAAGGTAAGGGGGGGGGGGGGGGGGAAGCGTCTGGTGGACAGGAAGGGGGGGGGGGGGCGTCCGGAAGCGTGGGGGATTATGCGGGAGTTTACAGGAAGGGGGGGGGGGGGAAGCGTCCGGGGGGGGACAGGAAGGGGGGGGGGGGGGAAAGCGTCCGGACAGGAAGGGGGGGGGGGAGCGTCCGGACAGGAAGGGGGGGGGGAAAGCGTCTGGTCTGGAAGCGGTTAAACCGATTACACAATCAAGGACGTTTATCCTGAGCTTCCTGTCACTCATGGACATAGATTGGTGTTGTTCCCACCAGCAACCAATCTGCGTAAAATCTGAAAAAAATGAGATAAACGCTAAGTATGTTGCATGTTTCAGAACAACACGGTGTACATGTTTTGTTTTTTTTTAATGCCATTATAGTAACACTTTTAAATGTGATCTAATCAAAGTGTTCTTTTTCATTGTAGATTCACTCAATGGACAGTGGATGGTCGCTAAAAGTTCCGTGACCAGGATGACCTGCAGGTTCACTTGGTTAATCCAGGCCGATGCAAGTCACTGGAAGGTTTCTGGGGTGGAGGTGAAATGGCTTTTGTTATGGAGGGAAAGGTACAGTGCCATGAAAAGATGTATTCCTCTTTGAGAACAGTAAGCACATATAAAGGATGTACTAAAATGCACATTCGTTGCATTCAAGTAGAACTGTATGCAAAACCTTTTTTTTTTTTTTTTTTTTTTTTTTTTTTTTATTTTGGATCGAGCAAGGGAGGATTATAACCCCTTTTTATTTTTGCCATCTGTGTCCCATTGCAGAGACTTTCCTTCACTTCCTGTCCCATAGCCAAACAGACAGTGAGAGGAAATCCCTGCAAGTTATGGGAATTCCTTGGTGACCCTGTCCCTGGCCTTTGCAGCCAGCGAAAGCAGCTAATGCAGCACGATTTGCTCTTTATTAGCTTTAAGGAAAGCTAGTTGAGACATCAGAGGTCTAAATGACCTTTTATGTTTTTTTAACCTCTTAAGGACCGCCCACCCGCAATGTACTGCGGACTTTACGGGCGGCACGTACAGGCACAGCAACGTACCTGCATGTCTCTGGCCTCTTCTGGGTAGAGGGCGCGTGCGTGCCCCTGCCTGCCCGCTCCTGCTGTGTTTAGACAAAGCAGGATTGTGTCAGAACACTTTTTCATTGGCCGGAACCTTCTGATCAGCTGTGTTGTCCAATTACTGCCCAGAGCCCTGTGTTGACAATCAACACTGCTGGGCACAGGTGGGTGGCACTGATCATCAGGACACTGATCATCAGTGCCCTGACGACCAATGCTGATCCCTTTGCTGACAATTGCCGGTTCTCGGCAGTACTTTTCCTCACACTGTGACATCATGAGGAAAATGCAGCCGATAACCGGAAACTGTGTTTACCCGGTGATCAGCTGTGTCCGCAGGATACAGCGATCACCGGCGGTGCCAGGTTGCGCACCACTGGGGGCGCGCAAGGGTGGCGCGTTCTGGATTGACGTCCATGGAGGTTTTGTCCCAGGATTACACAACCGCACTGTAGCCATCCTTCGGCTATAGCGCGGTTGGGAACCGGTTAATTAGCACTATTGATGTCGCTTCGACTTTAGAAAAGGTCCCTGTACTACTTCAAGGCGACTTCTACCCGACGTATGCCCATAAACGTTAATAAAAGTTGCCTCAAAGTCACATGCTTGTTTATATTGGTGTGATTTGGATCCGACATTACAGGAAGGTTACCCAGGCAAAGTCGCATGGCATGAAAGTCATGCATCAGGTCGCATCAAAGTTGTACTGAAGTCGCATCAAGTCTCCAGGAAGTTTCTTGGGCAAACTATATGACCTTTAGGTCGCAGTAATGTGAAACACACAGCCTAACGGGGAACGCAGGCAGCAATAAAAACTGTTGGGTGGGGTCTAATCCTTGTGCACTCCATCCTAAACCTATAAAATATAAAAAACGTTTTGCCTTTTACTTATACTTTAAGTATTAATAAAGATCGTTAAAGTGGAGTTCTACTCACGCTGTCAAAAAATATAAAAGTCAGCGGCTACAAAAAAGTAGCTGCTGACTTTTTAAAAACAGCCACTTACCTGTCCCTCAGTCCCGTGGTGTCCCCCCCCCCGCAGCTCGTTTCACTGGCCATCCTGGATTCCAGGAGGCCGGCATCTTCAGTGTGGGCACCCGGCTGTGATAGCTTGCGGCTTCACACCCGCGTACCCACTGCGCATGCGCGAGAAGCGCTGCGCTTCATGAATGGTCATATAGTCTTCTGGGACCTGTCACGTGTCCCAAAAGACTACATGGAGGGAAGGACACCTTCCGTTTCCGATCTCCTAGGTCAATCGGACCGGAAGTGGGAGCGGGTACCTGTCAAACTCTCGGGTACCCGATTTCCCCCCCCGCCCCCCAAAGGCGCCAGTCCTTATTAATGGGGAGCGGGGGAGCAGTCCTTAAAAAGCGGAACGTCCCCCTTTTGGCTGGAGCTCCGCTTTAATCTCTTTCTCAAAATGCTGTATTAGCATTGTTGATTTTTTTTTTTTTCTCTTCTCTTACTTTGAAAATGTGCGCATATCATCAGTCCATCCCTGTAGCTGCTGTTTTCTTCACCATTTTCTCTTTTTCACACATCACTATCCTGCTTCATGCATTGGCTTCCTGCTGATTTCAAAAGTGAAGAAACACTTCCCTGGGCTCCCTTTTAGATGTGCAAGTCTCCAGGGATAAAGAGCACCGTCCTCACCATCCAGGAAGGAACATGCTTGTCTATAGGCATGCTGGGGATGTGTTTCTTTCACTCAGATCACATCCCTCCTTCCATTCTCTGCTCTTTGAGCATCTGAATGGGTGGCTACTAAAGGGAGATACCAAGAGAGAGAAATGAATTGTAGACACAAATTAATGGAAATGAATGCAGGTGGAACAATTGTAAACAAGCAGAATGAATTCAAACAAGAAGCATATATGTAATTTTTTGTTTTTTACTTTTGGTTACTCTTTTTGATTGATCTCTATTACCTGTTTTTCCAGCCTTTCAAGGCAGATGAAGAGAAAAATGGATGAATCCCTGGACAGTTACAGCCATTCATTCAATGTCCCTGTGGAGGTGTCCTGCCTACCAATTGCCAGTGGTCCTCCATGAGAGCCCGGTATGTTCTACTTTATAATTTCAATGATTTAACTTTTTCTTTAATCTGAATTAGGGGACATGACTGGTCTAGTGGAATTATTTTTTATTTTGTTAGGCATGCATGATGTGTCATCTCTAGCTGTTTCTGGTTAAATCCCTGTCGACGTTTATATACAGGCAGTCCCAGGGTTACAAAACAAGAATAGGTTATTAGGTTTGTCTCTTAAAGCGGCAGTTCCAACCAAAATGAAGCTCCACTTGATTGCCTCTGGACCCCCTAGTTTGAATGACAGGGATACCCAACCCCCGCTTCCACTTCCGGCACAGTTTCACCCGCGGCGAAGTGAGCCATAAGTTCGAGTCGGCGCCACCTCCTCCCTTCATGCACAGGTCCTAGAAGCTACTGCTGGACCAATCACAATGCATACGCGAACTCGCGCACTGGCACTGGGCACCTGGCTGTTTAAGACCGCAAGCTATCACAGCCCTGCGCTGCCCACAGTTTGAGATGCCTGGCTGCGGGAGGAGAGACGAAGGAGAGAAAGGGATGGCACAGGGGCAAAAAGCAGACGACGAAGGAGAAAAGGGACGGCGCGGGAGACGGGGACGGGCACGGGGGAAGAGACAAAGGAGAGAAGGACGGCGCGGGGGGGTTCCTCTAAGAGACGAAGGAGAGAAGGGACGGCACGGGGGGAAGAGACGAAGGAGAGAAGGGAACGGGCGCAGGGAAAGGAGACGAAGGGAGAGAAGGGACCGGCGCGGGGGAAGAGACGAAGGAGAGAAAGGGACGGCGCGGGGGAAGAGAGACGAAGGAGAGAAGGGACGGCGCGGGGAAGAGACGAAGGAGAGAAGGGACGGCGCGCGGGGGGAGAGAAGCACGAAGGAGAGGAAGGAAAGGGGCGCCGGGGGGGAAGGATGACAGAAGGAGAGAAGGGTTTTTTCTATATCGGGCAGTTTTCGCGGGGGAAGAGACGAAGAAAGAGAAGGGCCGGCGCGGAGGAAGAGACGAAGGAGCCAGAAGGGAGGCAGCGCCGGTGGGAAGAGGACGAAGGAGAAAGGGGGAGGGCGCGGGCGGAGGAAGGGGGGGGAAGGAGAGAAGGGGAGGGCGCTCGGGGGAAGAGGAAGGGAGACAGGGGGGGGGAAGGGGAAGAGACGGAGGAGAGGAAGGGGGGGGGGGAGGGGGGGCGGAGGGGGGAGGATAGAATGAATTTTGTTTTAGAAATTTTTTTTTGAGACCGATAAAAACTTTATTTTGGTGGTAATTTTTTCACCACTGTGATTTTTGTTTTTTTTTTTTTGCTATATAAATGAATAAGTCCACAAATTTTGAAAAAAAGTGTTTTTCTTATTCAGTTTTGCAAATAAATAATCTTTCTTCATAAATCTTGGCCAAAATTTATTCCAGTTACGTCTAGGTTTACTAAAAAAAAAAAAATAATAAGCCAAATTAGTTTTTTTTGTTTTTTTTTTTTACATACTGTCACCCTATTTTTGACACTGTACTACTTGTGATGATGATGCAGATTTTTTTTTTTTTTAAACGCAGATTGCTTTTTTACACCCATAAATGGCTGCAAAAGCAATCATTTCCTCCTTCTCTCTGTCTGCATTCCTTGCAGCCATTGAGAACTACTGTGTGAGCTGTGATTGGTCACAGATTGTCACATGGTACAAGGCTGTTGTGAATAGCCCTGTACCATGTGACCTCTGTGATCATTCACAGATTTCACACGTAAAGTAAATAATGAATCAGGAAGTGACATTTCTTACTACTATTACTATTCATGTGATCACACGATTGGCCAATCGGTGATCACATGATCGGTACCTCTACACACAGAGGTCCTGTACAGCTATCGGTGTTCCCACAGAGCGTGAATGCAAGCCACTCTTGCACTGCTCCCGTCTGGCTGTTTATGTACATGGTTTTGGAGGAGGTAAAGTGTTAATAAACACAAAAACGTCTGGAACTCTGCTTTAAGAAAACTGAATTTGTATGCAAGTTGGAATGGATACATTTTTTTTTTTAAGTGTAACTCCATCCAAAAAATTATTGAAAACCCTTTGATATATATTTGCTAAAATAATTGCATTTGAGTACCGATCATGTGATCACTGATTTGGCCAAACGTGTACTAACCTGGGTCCCTGTAGCTATCGGAGGTCCCATAATGAATGAGGGGCTGTTTATGACATGGTTTGGAGAGTGGTTTACACAAAAACGTCCCCTGGAACCTCTGCTTTAATATAAATTAAAGTAAAAAAGCTGAAATGCGGGGGATCCGGATGAACCCCTCCTCCATCCAAAAAATTATGCCTTTTTTTTTTTTTTTTTTTTTTTTTTTTGATATAGTGCTAAAATGGCATTTTTCCATCCTAGGGAGAGCGGATATAGTGAATGCAGGGTCCAGGAGAGCAATCATACTGAAGAGGATGCAGTGGCATCCAGGGAACAGCAGCAGATATAGTGAATGCATTAGGTCCGGGATGAGCGGATAGTAAGTGAATGCAGGGTCCAGGGTGAGAGACGGGCATATAGTGAATGCAAGGGGGGTCCGGGGAGAGCAGATATAGTGAATGCAGGGTCCGGGAGAGCGGATTATAGGTGAATGCAGGGGTCCGGGAGAGCGAATAATAGTGAATGCAGGGTCCGGGGAGAGCGTGATATAGTTGAATGCAGGGTCCGGGAGACCGGATAAAGTGAATGCCAGGGTCCTGGAGAGAAGCGGATATAGTGAATGCAATGGGGTTTTTTCCCGGGGAGAGCGATATATAGTGAATGCAGGGTCCGGGGAGGAGCGGTATAAGTGAATGCAGGGTCCGGGGAGGAGCGGTTAAGTGTAAATGCAGGGTCCGGGGAGACCGGATATAGTGATTGCAGGGTCCGGTGAGAGCGGTATATAGTGAAATGCGGGGGTCCGGGGAGAGCGGATAATGTGAATCTGCATGCTGGGTCCTCGGGAGACCGGATATAGTGAATGCGGGGTCCGGGGAGACCGATATAGTGAATGCGGGGTCCGGGGAGACCGGATATAGTAATTGCGGGGTCCGGGAGACCGATATAGTGAATAGCGGGTTCCGGGAGAGACCGGATATAGTGAATGCGCGGGGTCCCGGGAGAGCGGATTATTAGTGAATGCGGGGTCCGGGGAGATAAGCGGATATAGTGAAGAACGCGGGGTCCGGGAGAGCGGATATAGTGAATGCGGGGTCCGGGGAGAGCGGGATATTATGTGAATGCGGGTCCGGGGAGAGCGGTATATAGTGAATGCGGGGTCCGGAAAGGGAGAGCGGAATTAGTTAATGCGGGGTCCGGGGAGAGCGGATATAGTGAATGCGGGGATCCTATGGGAGAGCGCGCATATAGTGAATGCGGGGGTCCGGGGAGAGCGGATAATAGTGAATGCGGGGATCCGGGGATAGCGGCTAATTATAGTGAATGCGGGGGTCCGGGAGAGCGGATATAGAATACACTGCGGGGTCCGGGGAAGCAGATATAGTTAATGTGGGGTCCAGGGAAAGCGGATATAGTGATGTGCGGGTCCTGAGTTTTAGTAACACTTATAAAAGCAGGAATTTTTTTTTTTTTTTTATATATAATAATAAAAAACCAGCAGCGGTGATCAAATTCCAAACAAAGGAAAACTCTGTAGGAAAAAAATATAATAAAATTAAGTTGGGTACCAAGTGTAGAAGTTAGCAGACAGTGCTGTACTAAGCAAAAAAATGGCAACTGGTCATGAAGGGGTAAAAAATACCCTCCTAGGGCGCAGAAGTGAGTTAAAGAGAACCTGATTGTCTTAAAAACTGTATAAAAGTTTTTGATCCAGCCTGGGTGTGATAGCCAGAGAGGTGTCGAATTGTGAATCAGGAGTATGAGAGGCTCTGCAGGCCGAGCCCCTCCTGGAATTTCCCCTGCTCTAGGGCTTTGGGGAAGACCGGCTAAAGGCAGTGGGTGGATCCGGAGGAGTGAAGTTACTAACCTGGCGACTTCACGCATCACTCTTGTGAGCAGCTAGAAGCAGAGCAGGTGAACGAACTGGGGCAGTGTTAAGTCCTGGTACACCCTAAATATGGCTTGCGTATAACAAAACATGGAAACTTGCGGTGGAGGGCTGTAATACAGTTTCATCAAACTACGGCACACACAGCATCTGCATCTGTGTGAGCGATGGTCCAAGAGGTATTATTTTAAAGTTTACTTGAAACCAGGAGATTAATTCTAAATGGCTCACTTAGTGTCCGGGGGGGGAGGGGGGCCGGAATGGGGGGGCGCGGCTTTAAAAAGCATTTTTTACTTACAAAGATCTCTCTTGCCAACGCTCATGCAGACTCTTTCCCTCCAGGCTGTACAGACTGGACCCCTGCAGGCTCTTCTACTTTCTCCCAACTTTGCGAGTTGCTGTGGATGCCGTGTATTGCATGGGCAGTACGCCCTTTTTTTTCACCATAAAGTTGTCTCTACCATGGGAATCCATCTTTTTCACAGTGCGTGGTGGGTTCCTACAAAGTAAATAATGGCACCCCCCAAGTCAGCGCATATTGCCTGCTACACAAAAACGTTTTTTTTTTTGTGTTTTTTTACGTTTTTAACGTTTTTTTTTTTTTTTGTTTGCTATTTTACCACGTTATCCCTTTTTTTTATTTTTTCACGTATCCACACGTTTTTATGTTTTTATATTAAACGTTTTTTTTTTTTTCCCCCGCCCTCATGTGTGATACCTAGCCTTTGAAAACAAAGTTTAAAAGAAAAAAAAAATGTATCCATTGTGAATACCAATGTACTTGTTACCTTTTGTAGGCAGCATACTTTCCAGCTACACACTTGACCCACAACCCCAAAACCAATGGCTGGGCTGAGGAATGGGAAGCCAGTGGATGTCCTTGCCTCAAATGTGGGTGCGGTGTGACGGCTCAGATCCTGAAGGAACCTGTTGGCTCGGTGCTGAGCCTATTAAGACCAGCAGAAATGAGATCACCGGAATGACATTCCATAAAGTGACCTATGCAGGTATGTGAGCCTTGAAATAAAGCCCATACCCCCCAGATATCCCCCCAAAACCAAGATTATTTCTCAAATGAATCTGTTCAGTACACAATGTGTAAGGAAATAATGGGGCAAGTTTCATTTTCCTCCCGATGGTAAAGCTCCGGCTTCACACCGATTTGTAAGGCTGTCTAATGGTTCTGAGTTGTTTTGACATTTGACTCTTACCAGAGATAACCTTTGCTTATGATTTGTTTCATCATATGTTGGCTTAACCGCTTGCGCGCCCTGCCACTGTATATATACGTGTAACAGGGCGGCAGTGGAGCGCAAAAGCACGTTTTAAAACGGGCTCCGCGCTCCCTGACACTTAAGCAGGTAGGGGGGTGCGCTCCCGCCGACCCGCGGGTGACACGTTTTGATCCAGGAGGGATCAATCATTAGATTTCAGCCAAAGTGGTGTCTGGCTGAAATCGGATGATCGTCCCCTCCCTGTCCTATCCTGTCCTGTGTTTGACATTTACACAGGACAGGATATGATGTCATTCTTCTCTGCCTGGACACATTCCGTTCCAGACAGAGAAGAAGACACAGTTAAAAGTGAGTTACAAAGCACTACACATATATCAGTTAGACACACACCTAGGGACACGTTTCACTGCTGGAATACCCCTGACATTTGAGTTATACGATCCGTAGGACACCACCAGGATAACCGCCTCCACGACCCCACAAAGCACGCAAATCATCACGGAACAATACCAGCGCGGGTAACCCCCTGATCGCCCCCTCCCCGTTAACCCCTTCCCTGTCCTGTCACCAGTGCTCAACTGATCAGATGGAAGCGATTTTTTTTTTTTTTTATTTTTTTTTTTATTTATTAATGATCACTGTAACCTTGTCCGCAGAGCGACATTCCAGATTGAGATCAAGCCGTCCCTCCCAGATAGCGCCAGTTTTGCCCGCCAGTACATCCCAGTAATAACCCGTTTAACCCCTTGAATCGCCCCCACCCCAGCCCAGATTTTTATACTGAATCACCTGTTCTCAGGTGTCGCTGGCGACCTCTTCCGATAGTGAGTTAGCAGCCCCTCCTAAGATAGCGCCAGTTGCCCGCTACATGCAACGGGATTTTTTTTTTTTTACCAAAAACATGGAGCATAAATACATATTGCGGCTTAAATATATGACTACCTTTTGAGTTTACAGATATATTTTTCTATATAGCTGAATGTAGAAAATATTGTTTTTTTTTTTATCAAAATATTTCGTGGTGTTAATTTTGTTTATAATTAGCGCAAAAAATAAAAAAGCGCACAGGTGAATCAAATACCACCAAAAGACAAGCTCTCATCTGTTGATGATGAAAAAAAGGATGTAAAGTTCAATTTGGGTGAGCAAGCATAGCATGACCAGCAGTGACATGTTTTCCTATTTTCAATGCGATTGCCGCAGAAGCAGAAGTTACTCCCGTCTCCGCGCTCCTTCCCCTGCAGTCCATCTGGGACACGTGATCCAGAAGCTCACCGGTCCCAGAGAATCTGGTCGGGTTCATTCTCAGGCTATGTTTCCACAATCTATGCGGTTGGTTGCGGGCAGCGGATCCAGCACAAAAATCCATGGCAGCCGCACCACTCCCACACAAGTAAATGCGGATACTAGCGGGTGCGGGTGCTATTCGTTCTAATGGCAACGCCTCCCACACACTGGAAAACGCAACCGACTGGGAACCTCGGCTGCGGTTTACAAAAGACAGCGCAGGGACTTCTCTTCCCATCGGGGCAACCCGGGAGTCCATTCAAATGAATTGGCTCGTGCCAGCGCAAAAACGCGGACCGCACGGCCATTTATATGTGAACCCAGAGCTAACCCTAGGTTTTCACATCTGTGCGGTGTGGTATGCCACTGCGGATCCGCATGAAAATCCTGCAGTCCGCACCACCCGCACGGAGGAATGCGGGACCCGTTGGGCGGGTGGCCATTAGTTCTAATGCAAGCCGCCCGCATTGAAAAAACGCAACCAACTGGGAACCGAGGTTCCCATGCGTGCGGGCTGCAGTGTAAGGACTTCTTCCCTGCATGTCACGGGCAAGTCCAAGAAGTGCATGGACTTCGTGCAACCCTGCGCAGGTCAGGGCCAGGCTTAATGCGTATGTAAAGTGGGCACGCAAGCCACATGCTATCACAGCCGGGTGCCCACACGTAAGATTGTGCCGGGTGACACAGGATGTCCCCAGCTGCTGTGAGGATACTGCTGTACAGTGAGTGGCTGTTTTTTAGAAGTCGTCAGCTACAGTTTTTGGTTAGCTTCTGACTTTTACTTTTTTTTTTTTTATTTTCCACCAGACTGAAGCTCCGCTTTAGGCTCCATGTACACTGCAGCTGATAAACTCACTTTTAGGAGCTTTTTTGCGTTTTTTTTTTTTTTTTTCTCTCAGCAGCCCCTGAACTCTCCCCTGGGGGAAGATCAGGTGAAGATCGAAGATCCACCTTAAAGCCAAGCTCCACCCCAAATTGGAAGTTTTCGCTTTAAGTCGTTGTCCCCCCACTCCCCATTAAGTATTGGCACCTTTGGGGAGCGGGTACCCGAATTTGACATGTATCCGCTCCCAGTTCCGCTACAATCGCCTAGGTGATCAGAAGCGGAAGTTGTTCTCCCCTCCTCCCACCCCCCCGTGTCTTTTGGGACACATAAAGGTCCCAGAAGACTACGGTTCTGCCATTCACAAAGCGCAGCGCTTCTCGCGCATGCGCTGTGGGGCACCTGGCTTTGAAGCCGCAAGCCCTGTCACAGCCGGGTGCCCACACTGAAGATGCCGGCGCCAGGGAGAACGAAGACGACCGGTGAAACCTGTGGTTGTGAGGACAACTGCTGGACCAAGGGACAGGTAAGTGGCGGTATTTTTAAAAAGTCAGCTACACTACAGTTTTTGTAGCTGCTGACTTTTAAATTTTTTTTTTTTTTTTTTAGGTGGAACTCCGCTTTAAAATGGAAAATTGAGAACTGCATCAATGAATTTCTGCATGGTCTTCCCTGCTAATCACTTTCAGAGCAGTACAGATTTTTCATACACATACAAGCACAGGTCAGCTCTGCAGGATGCCTTCTCTGTGGAACACCAAGCTGTGCGCTGTATTGGCCGCATGGTACCATAATATGAGGTCCAGTGCGCCATCTGATCAGGAGGGTACAACAGTCACAGTGTAAACTAACTGTAATGTCACAGCAGGTTTATATGTCTGGGGTCTGGTTTTTACCACTTTATATTCATAGACAGATAAAATGGCAATGGACATGTTTAATTTTTCATAAATATTAATTAGAGAGGTTTTGTTTGTACTTCTTGTACTAAATCCTTGTTGTTTTTATTCACACTAAAGAAAGCCCGACTACAGACCAAAACCCTCTTTTCCAAGCTTAGAAGCCTGAAGAAAAACACTGACAAAGAGAGACATCACTCATCTGCTGTGAGTCCCATGAGCCACCAGCATTGACCAAGCGGCATCTATTTTACTACTTTTAAACAGTGTTAGAGATTCAATGGATACAAATCACTCTGGCTGTAGAAGATCTAATTATGTCAATTCTCTCACACAACTAGTAACAACTTTTTTTTTTTTTTTCTCCACCTTTTATATGCAGTCCAAGCTGGTCAATGAAAATAGAGTTATAGGGGTTAGGGACAAACCATGATACGGGATACACACACAGAGGGAGTGGTGCGTCATCGCCGCCCCTTCTTCTTTTTTATATTTTCTTTTGTTATTCACCTAAAAAAAGCCCAAATAAAAGGATGACATGAAGAGACACAGTCTTTCACAGCAGTTATCCTCTGCCCTCTGTAAACATCATTCCCTACACCCCCCCCTGTCCCCCTGGTACAGTGGTCTCTCTCTCTCACCCCCCCTCCTTCAGCCTAGCCTCTCCATTCTCAAGCACCCCTCCTCCCCCCCCCCCACTCGCTCGGCTCCCCCCGCACTCGCTCGTCCTCTCCTCCCGCCCCCTCTCTCCCATCCTGCCTCATCCTCTCCCCCCCCTCTCTACCCCTCTCTACTCCCCCCACCCCCTCCTCGTTTCCCCTCATCTGCTCGTCCTCCCCCCGTCCTCTTCCCTCCCCCCCTACTCCTCAAGGTGCCTTCCCCTCCTCTCCTGCTCCTACGACCTCCTCCTTCCCCCCCTCATTTTCACTGGACCTCCCCGCTCTCTCATCGAGCCTCCCCTCAGCTGCTCCCTACTCCTCCCCCTCGCTCTCTCTCCTCGCCCGCTCCTCCTCCCCCTCTCGGGACTTCCTCCCCGGCCCTCTCTCCTGGTCCCCTGAATACTCTCCGTCCTAGTACCCCCCTTCTCTCTCCTCCCCCTCTCTCATCCCCTCCCCACCTCCTCCTCCCCTCTCCTTCCCTTCTCTCTTCCTCGTCATCAACCCCTCCTCTCTCTCTCTTTCTCCTTTTCATCTCTCGCCTCGCGCTCCCCCCTCTCTCTCATCCTCTCACTTGCTTCTTCTTTCCCCTCTCATCTCTCTCACATCCCCTTCATCTGCTCTTTCTTCTCCCCAATCTCTCTCCTCCCCCACATACTCTTTCATCCCCCGCTCTCTCACCCCCCCTCTCTTCCTCCTTCTCCTCAGTCCTCCCGCTCCCCCCCTCTTTCTTCCCTCAACCGTCCCCCCCCCGTCTTCCCTAGTCTTTCTTCTCTCCCCTCCCCTCTTTCTTCCCCCCCTCTTCTCGAGGTCTCCCCCCGCCTCTTTCTTCCCTCCCCTCACCTGTCCCGCATCCACCCCCTCTTTCTTCCCCCCCCCTCGATCCCCTGCCCCCCCCTACTGTACTACCCCCCCCCTCTTTCCCGCCCTCGCCCCCTACCTTTCGTTCCCTCATCCCCCACAGCTACTGAGTCAAGAAAGTCTCCTGCTCGTACATTACCCCCCCCCTCTTTCTAGCCCTCTCCCCACTCTTTCTGCACCTCCCGCCCCCCTCGTTCTATACTCTCCCCTCCCCTCCCCTCTCACCCCCAAAATCTCTACTCCCCTACCCCCTCGTTCGCCCCTAACTCTAACTCCATCTCTCTCAAATCCCCCTCACGCTCATCTCAGGACTCCTCCACTTCATCCCCCCTCTCTCCCTCCCCTCTCTCCCCATTCCCTCCCTTCTCCCCTCAATCTCTCCCACACCTCACCTCCCCCTCACTCAACATCCACTCTCCCCCTCGCCGCTCCTCGCCCCTTCCCCCGCCCCCCCCTCTCCCGTCCCCCCCTCTCCCTCCCCCTCCCCCCATCTCTCCCCGCCCCCTCGCACCTCTCCCCCTTCCCCCCCTCGTCTCTCGTCACCTTCGACTACATTTTCTGACATTGTGCCCCCATGCACAACACACAGTCATGTGTAGGGTACCATCTCGCTAGTCATACATTGACATTACATCAGAATGCAGGTGAGAGGGATCACACAATTGGAAAGCTCCCAGTCGCTACTTTGATCAAATACCACCAAAAGAAAGCTCCATTTAAGTGAAAAAAATTATTGTTGCATGACCGAGCAATTTCCAGTTAAAGCAGCGTAGTGCTGAATAGCAAAATAATGGCCTGGTCATGAAGGGAGGTAAAATCTTCTGAAGCTAAAGGGGTTAAGTAGGCTAATTGCATGCCCCAGTCATTCCACCCCCGAGAATCCACTGATTCTTGTTGCTGGAATCCAGTAGCCACATGTGTGATATGGCTTAAATGGGGAAAAAAATGGCCAGGGGGAATCTAATTGGACGATTTTTAGATGCATACTCTAATACCTTTCCCTTGCTGTGCTTTTGTTTTTTTCCTCCTTACTAGATGCAGACAAGAGGATTTGCTCAGTATGATTTATTCAGCACAGTGGAAAGCTCCATTATAGAATCACAAACTAACGTCACGGTCGACTTTGTGTGGAACGGAGTGGACAAAATCTTGCAGATCCCACCTTTGACCTCTGCGGCCACATTGGTATGATATATATAAATCACACACAATATACCAAACATGGAAAAGAAAACATACAGTGTATTTTGTAGCTTTTTAAGGCTTCTTTGCAATGTATGCGGTGAGCTGCGTTTTTCTACACTAAATGCAGGTCACTGCTAATGCACATTGAAAAAAAATTGTTTTCTGTGTGCTCCATTCACAAGGCAGCGCTGGTGCGATGTGTATTGAGCTGTGGGTAAATGCTGCATGTATGCTTTTTGCTGCAGTGAACTGTATGGCACCCCACTGCTTTGCAGTGACACATCAAATAAAGCTAGTGAAAAAGCAAGCAGTGCAATGCGCTGAAACACTCCCTCCCTGCCAGAGGGGGCGCTGTCACTAGCCTGCCTGGTAAAACATGTGAATTATAGTGAACCTAGCCTTAAAGCCCAACTCCGGAAGAGGGGTCTGCACCTGCGCTGCCAGGATTAGCTGCTCATTTTGTCTAGGACAGGGGTCTCCAAACATTCTAAGCAAAGGACCAGTTTACTGTTCTTTTGGATTTCAAGGAGACTGAACTGTGGCCAGTGGGAGCAGAAAATTTACACAGAGCCTGTGGTCAGTAGGAGGAGGAATAGTGCCCCATCATATGTATCAGTGGGAGGAATAGTGTCCCATAATTGGTGTCAGTAGTGGGAATAGTTCCCCCGTCATTGATGTCAGTGGTGGGAATAGTGTCCAATCATTGGTGTCAGTGGTGGGAATAGTGCCCCATCATTGGTGTCTGTGGTGCTGTGGTGGGAATAGTACCCCATCATTGGTATCAGTGGGAGGAATAGTGCCCCATCATTGATATCAGTGGGAGGAATAGTGCCCCATCATTGGTATCAGTGGGAGGAATAGTGCCCCATCATTGGTATCAGTGGGAGGAATAGTGCCCCATCATTGGTGTCAGTGGGAGGAATAGTGCCCCATCATTGATATCAGTGGGAGGAATAGTGCCCCATCATTGGTGTCAGTGGGAGGAATAGTGCCCCATCATTGGTATCAGTGGGAGGAATAGTGCCCCATCATTGGTATCAGTGGGAGGAATAGTGCCCCATCATTGGTATCAGTGGGAGGAATAGTGCCCCATCATTGGTATCAGTGGGAGGAATAGTGCCCCATCATTGGTGGTGGGAGGAATAGTGCCCCATCATTGGTGTCAGTGGGAGGAATAGTGCCCCATCATTGGTGTCAGTGGGAGGAATAGTGCCCCATCATTGGTGTCAGTGGGAGGAATAGTGCCCCATCATTGGTGTCAGTGGGAGGAATAGTGCCCCCATCATTGGTGTCAGTGGGAGGAATAGTGCCCATCATTGGTGTCAGTGGAGGAATAGTGCCCCATCATTGGTGTCAGTGGGAGGAATAGTGCCCCATCATTGGTATCAGTGGGAGGAATAGTGCCCCATCAGTGGAATCAGTGGGAGGAATAGTGCCCCGTCATTGGTGTCAGTGGGAGAATAGCGCCCCGTCATTGGTGTCAGTGGGAGGAATAGCACCCCATCATTGGTATCAGTGGGGGGAATAGCGCCTCATCATTGCTGTCATTGGATTGGGAACAGCGTCCTTCCTGTCATTGGGGGGGGCGAACAGCGTCCTGTCATTGGGGGGAACAGCGTCCTGTCATTGGGGGGGAACAGCGTCCTGTCATTGGGGGGAACAGCGTCCCGTCATTGAGGGGAACAGCGTCCCGTCATTGGGGGGAACAGCGTCCGTCCCGTCCCGTCATTGCTGTCAGTGGGGGAAACAGCGTCCCGTCATTGCTGTCAGTGGGGGGGAACAGCGTCATTGCTGTCAGTGGGGGGGGAACCGTCATTGCTGTCAGTGGGGGGAACAGCGTCCCGTCATTGCTGTCAGTGGGGGGAACAGCGTCCCGTCATTGCTGTCAGTGGGGGGAACAGCGTCCCGTCATTGCTGTCAGTGGGGGGATCCCGTCATTGCTGTCAGTGGGGGGAACAGCGTCCCGTCATTGCTGTCAGTGGGGGGGAACAGCGTCCCGTCATTGCTGTCTGGGGGGGGAACAGCGTCCCGTCATTGTGGGGGGGAACAGCGTCCCGTCATTGCTGTCAGTGGGGGGAACAGCGTCCCGTCATTGCTGTCAGTGGGGGGAACAGCGTCCCGTCATTGCTGTCAGTGGGGGGAACAGCGTCCCGTCATTGCTGTCAGTGGGGGGAACAGCGTCCCGTCATTGCTGTCAGTGGGGGGAACAGCGTCCCGTCATTGCTGTCAGTGGGGGGAACAGCGTCCCGTCATTGCTGTCAGTGGGGGCAACAGCGTCCCGTCATTGCTGTCAGTGGGGGCAACAGCGTCCCGTCATTGCTGTCAGTGGGGGCAACAGCGTCCCGTCATTGCTGTCAGTGGGGGGAATATTGAGTGCCTCAAGGGCCAGATAAAGGCCAGCATACTGCCACATCTGGCCCATGGGCTGAAGTTTGGAGACCACTGGTCTAAGGGAGAGGAGAAACATTTTTC